TCGTAAGCACAGACCCATACAGAAGTTGGGAGAGCAGCGATATTTAGTCGCCGTGCAGTCCTCAAGAACATCCGAAGAAATACCTGAAGGCAAAGCTGCGAGCTCAGAAGTGGGGAGTGGGAGAAGACAAGAAGCACGTTGGCCGCTCACAACGACGTCACGAACCAATAAACAGGCAAAACGGAATATATGCTAGGACCTTTCCGAGCCGTAGGATTATATCTGCTTGCAAGAGAAGCCTTATCTTGAATTCACACATTTCCAACAACTCTGCGTAGGAGTCGAATGCACGGCGCAATACAGCGGTAATGTAAGTCGACGCCGAATGAAGTATTCACTAATAATTCAGAAGGAAAATGGTGTTACAGGGGCATACTTGAGTCTCCGAACGAACTGGAAATGGTATCATGCCGGGGGAGTTGATTCTTTCGTGCAGCCCGAAACTGTCCACAACAATTGAACAGCGGGGAAACTTCTCAACCAAAGGGCATAGAAAAAAGGAGGCGTTTTTGAAAAGGAGAACTCCACTAGATGCAGACACTTTTTACTTTCATAAGAGCTCACGTATGAAGACAGCTATGGCTGTTCAAAGCATGCAAACTTGTAGGTGACACTACATTTCAATAGCGACTTCACAGGAGGGGATATTTCCTTAAAACGAAAATGTTCAAATGGCTCAACACAATAAAATAATGCAAAACCTAGAGCTTGCCAACTCAGCTTCTCTGGATTCAGAAGTTCTCCTCTCAAGACAATTATGGACATTCAGGGAAGGGTACCTTTAAAGTTCTTGGCTCATTTCGCAAAATAGCGCAAAGTATTGTGCTTCATTGTCATGACAAAAAGCGTTCTAAATGCTCACGAGAAATGTCTGAATGCACTCGAACGTTCAAGGTTCGGATATCCATTTCTATATCATCTCATTTGGGAGGGGCATCTCGTGGAGCGTGGGTAGGGAGGGAGTCGTCACTTCTTAGGCTGCTTTTGGGGAAGGAAGGGGGCCATATTCAACAGGTAGGTGGCTTCGACTTTATTTCACATGTGCGCTCTTTCATTTGATCATTATATACTATTACCAGCATTGGCTGACGCGCACTACTGCGCGCATGGTTGAATCTATGGTAATGGTACTAATCGCTGACAGGATTCCTGTGCTGACCCCGAACACTGGGCCCGAGCGCCATTTTTTGAAATACGGCCCATTTCATTATGTTTCTCCTGTTTAATGAACATTTGCTAATGTCTGGTGCTTATCACATTTCTAAAGAGCACTCACCATTCGTTGGAAATAGGACAGCTTAGCGGTTGAAAGAATTTCGATGGTAATAACATGGACACCATAGTGATATATTCTCACATCCTAGTACTTTCGTTAAGCAGCTTCCAAAGCTTTTAATTTTTGTCGACTCTCGAGTGTTTAGCGGTCGAATCAGTCATAACCCTATCGCTAAGGGATGGAATAAGTTGACTCATAAGCCTCTGCCCATTGTTTCGTGGGCACCGGTGCTCAAGT